CATGCATGCCATTGATCCTTGGTTGGATGATGGATTTAAGATAAAACGAAAAAAGGGTAAGTTGTTCTTAACCTTTGAATTCCTAAATGGAGGAAAAATGTGGGTGTTAATTAATTGATTTATGTGTGGCAGCCTTGATGATTAAAGCTATGGGAGAAATGTGGTGAGAGGCATCCAAAGCCCAGCTACTTTAAAAAGGTAAGATGCAATGTGAATGTATATGATACCTTAGAATTGGATAGGATAAATGCTAGGTTAAGGTAAGGTTGCTTGCTATGTTGTTTGAAAGAAATACAGGTTAAAATGGCACATTAATGTATAATAGTTCCGGAATGTACTATGGTCATGAATATAGAGAATTATGTAGGTAAAGGTTATGAATTCCTTTAGTAATTGAGAAAGAAAGGTGATTTTAGCATGATTTAAGTTATTAAGATAGTGATTAATGTTTGAATAAGAAAGAGAATGGAATAAGATATAAAAGCCTTAAGTAAACGTGGGTAGCAAATGTAAGACAAATGAATTGTAATGTTAGTAAAAGTGTTTTGGAACCAATTGCTATTAGGAGATTGACTAAGTGAAAAAAAATTACCGAGGACATAATTCAAGGATAAAATGGATGATCGGCAAGTCATCTTGATGAATTGAGACATAAGGAGTTTAATTTGGTGAAGTAATATCCCACCGAGAGGTGTGAGTATAGGGTGTCCAGTTTAAAAGATTCTATGATATATGAAAATATATGTATAGTATTATTCAATGCCTTTGTGGAAAGCTTGAGTTGCTAGAAAATGATAAGTGGTTTAGAATGATTTATACACAGCTTTTATGGAAAGGACGAGCTGGTAGAAACAATAGGCAATTGTGGATGCCAATTGATTTGGAAGTTATTTGTATATACTATATATATGTATATGTAAAGTGTTTCAGAAAATGGGAAACGAGCACTTTCGTAATGTTTTACATCAAAACTGTGCCTTAAATCTTTACATAATGTGCATAATTGGTTGCACTTGATAAATGGCTTAAATAAAAATTCTTGTCAGTCGGTTTT